TACTTTTATATTCCACACAGGAAAACTTCTCTCACAGAGACCTCAGGACAAAACTCATATCAACTGCTTTTACACAGCACTCTCTGCTGACTGACTAACTGTTTTTCTGTCCTCATCAACTGTCAATCTCCCACGGTCACTCCTGATAGACATTCAAATCATCCACACAGCATCCATTCCAAAACCCCTCCCTCTCTCTGTCACTCACCATTCATATCACTTGCCTGTTTCCAGCACTCTAGAGTATCATCACAGCCATACAAACCAAACTTTTAAAGGCACACACACAAATAAACATGAAATCGATACAGCAACATTAAGAATCAACACATTTATTAAGATCTTGATCCAACTCCATATCTTTTTCCTTAGTCACATAATTTCAAAATGGTTGTATTTGGCAGGTTTACTGGGTTTCTTCTTAAAAGGTTTGCCAGTGTGTGAAACAGAAACTCGTTCCAGTTGCTTAGGTTGCTGTTTCAACAAACAGCTAGCTGTATTGTACAGGTATCTTTAAAGTGTATTAATTTCATAATACTTGTACAGTTATTAATATTTTGTTATCTCCCTCTCTCTAGGGTCAAGCAGCATTCAAGGGATAGCTCTCATGGAAGGACTATAGCTCATGGAAGAAAAAAATCCCGTCAGGACATCCTTGGTTTCCAGGTTACCAAAGTATGGAACAAAACCTGCTGGAAGTTTCCTACAGACCGTTCCAAATGGGACAGCTCTTAATTTATCAGGGAATACTCAGAGCATTGACAAAAATTTCAGCAAGCACAATGGCACTCTTCGTATGTCTTCCTTTTCTTTTAACTGGAGAAAGGCAAATAAGTACCAGCTGGGTGCCCAGATCAGTAGTGAATCTAGCTCCAGTCACAATTCCAATGAAAGGCTGACTGATTCTGAAAAGTGCCCTCAGTCTCAAGGAGCAGTTGGTAAAGAAGTGCTCAGGAAAGGTTTACACAGTGCATCTTCACAAACTGGAAAACAAAGCAACATGTTTGTGTCTTCTGCAGAAGAATTAAGCCAAAAGTCTTTGCCTGGGCAGCCTCGTTCAGCTAAGTTCACCAAAAGTTCATTGTTAGGCAGGACTTTGTATTCTGGACTAAATGTTCCAAAATCACACTTGAATGGAATTTGTGGGATCCAGGCAACTGTAGGCTTACAGAGGAATAGAGGTAATTCTACTACTGTGAGAAGCAGCTCAGGAGAGAGTCTATCAAAGTCAACAGACAATGTTGAATCTTCCTGTGAAAAAATGGTTCGGTCACAAAGCTTTTCGTATTCCATTCAAAACAGCCTCTTGCCCCCTGCATCCTTAACCAGATCACATTCTTTTAACAGAGCTGTGGATCTTACAAGGCCTTATCAAAATCAACACCTAGCTATTAGAACATCTCAGAGATCAAATCTGTTGTCCAGAAATGCTCGGCAGCTGGAGATCCCCAATGGTAATGAATCCCTAAAGTATGGATTTCCTAGATCTTCTACTACTTTAGGGTCCTCTGGACTGAAGAAACCGCCACTGCCAAATGGCTCTGGGGATGCACCATCTTTAAAATTTAGAACAGGCCGTCCTTCTTTATTAAAGCCTAGCAACCAACATTTGGGGAGAAGGATTCCAGTGGACGGCAGCTCAAATAATGACGCCGAAAAATGCTTAGAGAAGGACTCTTTGATTGCAATAAATATTCGTGGAGGGACTTCTGCAAAAGGTGCACAAAACAGTGAAAGACCAGAAGCTAGTGACGCTGTATGTAATTTGGTAGAAGACGGTCATAAAGTTATTTGCACAGATGGTGATGTGGATGAAATATCTATATCTTCCTTGTCGTCCTCTGATAAAAATGATCTGAGTGAAGACTTTAGTGATGATTTTGTAGATCTAGACTATCGAAACAGAACATTCCAAATTCAAGAAGAGGCAGTGTCTGTCCAAGAGCTGGAGTGTGGAAATGAAATACCATTAGATCGACTTCTGTCTCTTAAGGAAAATGAAAGATCCAATTGTAATTCAGATGAGTGGCTGGATATTCATGTGTCTGGTAATTATATATACATATATATATTTATTTTTAGATATGATGGCGAGGTTCTATAATGCGCTGCTTGTCATCTGTCTTCTAACCATATTTACCTGTAAGAAAGATGAGTTTTTCCCCCATATGTGCTGTCAAGAATAAAGGAGGGCATCTTATATTTTTATGAAAGTTATATATATGTACAGGTATTAAACTGCTCTGTGTAACTTTTTTTTGAGGGAAATTGATCGTCTTACATTCAGAATCTTCCTTTTCAGGTAAATATGGTAATAAGGAATCTTGCAACTTAGTTTATGAATAATAAGGAATAAAGATTGTAGCTGCCTCATGCAGGACTCTGCAGATGCAACATAAAGACCACCTAAATAAATAGAAATACTTTTTGGTTCTTCTTAAAGCATAAACGTTTTGAGATTATTTTTTTTTAAATGCTGGGTACACAGTAAGATGAAAAACCAGTTGGAGGATACTTTGTGTTACAGTGTTTTACTGTCTGCAATTAAAGTGGTAGGAACAAATTTTACAGGCAGTGATACCAAGGAACTCTGATCAGCAAAATAAACTTTTATTGCTACAGAGAACCACAGGTAATGCAACATGCATGCAATCTCAGTGCAAATAATTGTCAAAGCAATTGCCTGTTCTATAGTTTCATTTTCTTCCATTGCTGTTGTCAGAACTGTCACACTGATAGGAAACATGTATGTACAAACTTAGTGTTGAATAATGAAAATGATCTATCCAAAGTTAAGCATATTTTAAGTCCCCTTTAATTTTATAGGGGAGTGGAAACCTATTTTTACTTAAAGAGAGGATGGTACTCTGACAATTGGGTACTCTCCTACCCACAATCCCTGGAGGCAGCAAATAGGTTCCTTCTGTCTCCACTGGGGTGGGAGTGCCCACCATCCTCAGTTATTTCCTGCCTTTTCCTGAGAGCAAGGTAAGAAAAAAAGAGTTCCACATTTCTTCATTGACCTCTTAAACCGTTTCTTCCTTTGTTTACCTTTGCTTCCTGAATCCGGCTACTCTTCTGTGCTTTTAAAAGACACAGAGAAAGAAAGGCGGCTTCTTTTCCAGTACTTTCCATTTCTCCAGTACCTGCGTTCAGCTACTGCAGTGGCCTCAGTGGCTTCCTCTCCTGCTTCATTAGACACTGTAGTGTCCTCTAAGGGAGAAAGGGTGGCAGTTATCCTCTGGCAGTGAGGCAAAAGGGCCTCACAAGCCTGGACCAGCTATGCAGGAGTGACATCAAACCCTGCAGGCTCAGAAACAGAGGGTGGCCGCCATTTACATTTTAGAGGGGAAACCAAGTGCATGCCGGGGAGGCCTGTGTGTGGCATAGGGACTCTGTTGGGGCTCATACCGCTGGGAAAGGGGCATGCTCCAAGGTGGTGAGTTAGCAGCACATGGGATCGCCAATGTTTCTTAAGGGTGTGTGTGTGCGTGTACAGAAGGCCTCTCAGAACAGAACAGAAATCTTTATTACGGTGTGTAACCAGCACAAACAGTCCAACCAAGCATACGTGCATCCATCTCAAAATAATTCAAAACCACTTCCAAGATAACAGACTGCATTAGCCTAAGAGTCTTTGAGTTATGCTTTTAAGAGATCTTTCCTAATTCTGTAGGCTGCTGCCCAAAATTTGGGGCCTGCTAATGTCACCTGTGGATTGGCATCTATCATAAGCAAAATACTAATATCAGAATCCGAAAGGCCTGAAAGCCTTTCCCGTATGGGTTGGATACTCTCAGTGACCATAGCTCTCCAAGCCTGGATGGAACAGCTTGTTACTACCCAGTGGGATTGGAGACAGTGGGAAGCACCCCTGAAGAGTTCTAGGTAGACCCACTGCCCCTCCCATGCCCCTAGGAAGTGACATTCTTGCCAATGCGGCACTAGATACCTCAAAGCCTGGCATACCAAGGCAGCCCTGAAAGACACAGCAGCCTCATCACAAGCACCCTTATGCTCCTGTTTCAGATCCACGAAGGATATTCTGTAACTTATTCAGCAAACTCTGACCATGACTCGGCCAGGGACAAAGGGGACCTGTCCATTATGAAGAGACCCTCCCTCTGCTCCATGCACCAAATGGCTTTTTTCCTCAGAGGGCCTCCCCTCACTCCTCTGTGAAGCTCTGAAGTTTTAAAGCTCTCTGTTGCCATAGCAGAACAGCCACAGGTTGCAAATGCAGAAGAATCAGATGAAGGGGGCCTGGAAGCAGTGTTCCCTCTAAGCTGAGTTAGTGTGAGCTAGTTCACAGTTTTTGAGCCTCTGGCTCACACAGTTTTGTCTTGGCTCAGGAAGGATGGCTCCAGAGCAAACTAATTGATGCACCAGCCAAATCTCTGGCTCACAACTTTAATGCCAGTAGCTCACAAAGTTGAATTTTTGCTCACAAGACCCCACAGCTTAGAGGGAACATTGCCTGGAAGTTCTGTCAGACTCTAGGGAGCTAGGCTCCATTTTGCCATTTCCCAGGTTCTTTTCCACAGTGATCAAGGAAGAGTAGGCCACCCCACCCACTGTCACAAAGATTTCATGTTGGGCCTTCTAAAAGGCTTTGTTCCTAGGGTTACTAGACTACTAAAATTCCAGTGGTGGGCATCCCTGCAGCTAGCCTGGCCTCGGGAGTGTACCTTGGCAAAGAGGGAGGATACCTTAGGGATGCTAATGACTGCAAGAGATATGCAGTACTAGGCCAGTCCCATGGAGCGGTAGTGTTTCCAGTTAAAGCTTCTGTGGGCACATCCCTCATGGTCAGAGTGTTGGTTCTCTGGCTATGCAGACTGCTCAGTCTCTAGATCTTCAGCTTGTTTATGACTTACCATCCATTAAAGGTTCCCTTGCTCGAAAGCCAGTCGAGCCCGACTCTAGGGTTGCAGTGCTCATCTCCGTTTCAAAGCCGAAGAGCCAGCGCTGTCTGAAGACGTTTCCGTGGTCATGTGGCCGGCATGACTAAACACCAAGGCGCACGGAACTCTGTTACCTTCCCACCAAAGTGGTACCTATTTATCTACTTGCAATGTCTTGCTTTCGAACTGCTAGGTTGGCAGGAGCTGGAACTAGAGACGGGAGCTCACTCCGTCATGCGGCACACTTGGGTCTCGAACTGCTGACCTACTGACCTTCCACAGCCTGCAGTTCGGCGTCTTAACCACTTGAGCCACCGCAGCTCCTACCATCCATTACAGAGGTGGAAAAAAGTCTAAATCAACCCTAAGTGGATGGATTGAGTGCACAGCTCCGGTGTACTCTTCTCAAGGTCTTCAGCTGCCAGTGGGCATCCCAGCTCATTCAGTGAGAAGTGCAGCACCTCTGCACCTTTCAAAACCACTGTTCCAGTCTTCAGTATCTGTAAGGCCGCTACATAGGCATTGGCTTCCACAATTCATCAATGCCAGCTCAGGTTTCTCATGTGTCGTTCCAATTTAAAATTGTCTTTGCTGTTGGAAACTCTTTTGTGCCTTCTGTTACCTCACGTGTGCTGTACCATATTTGCAAGTACCCCCGTCGCACAGAGCTACAGTTCATTTTGAAGAAGGCGCACTTCATGATGAGCTACGTTAGTGAAGGAAGTCTCTGAACTGAGGATGGTGGGCATTCCCTCCCCACCGGAAATGGAGGGAACAACCTATTTCCTGACTCCAGGGATTGGGGATAGGAGAGTACCCAATTGTCACTGTCCTTTTTTTCCAGCTAAAAAGAACTTTAGTGGTAATGTTCTGTTTCACTTGGCCCCAGTTGATATCAGTGTTAATAGATAACTAACCACAAACTCTATGTTTCTTATCTATAAAATACTATAACCTTTATGTTCCTAAATACTTATCATCTGATTGCAGGGCAACCTCACAGTTCACCTGCTTGTGGGAGTTATTCCATCATTTTGCTCTTAGAAATAGCATTTGAAAAGTTGCCTGTTCTTCAGAATTACATTTGAGCAATGTATGCATGTACAGTTTTAACATTTTTTTTTTGTGCTTCAGCAGTCGATGACAAGAGCGAAAGTGCAAAGCTTCCTTCCGGGAACAATGTGATTTCCTCCGACATGGACTACAGAGCCGGCTCCTCCTTTGAGCTTTCTCCATCTGACAGCTCCGACGGGACCTATATGTGGGATGAAGAAGGACTGGAGCCCATTGGAAATGTCCATCCGTGTGGGAGTTACGAGTCTTCAGAAATGAACAGTATAGTATGTATATCTTTTATTGTTCATGGTTTCTGAAATAAGCTAAAGGTTTTGGAAACTTTAAGTCCAGGCTCCTTCCTGAAGGCTCACGATCTAAATTCAGACAAGACCCGGGGGAAGGAGTAGCAAAGACAAAGGGAGATTAGAGTATGTCAGGTGATGCATTATTTAACAGGCACTACACTTTTGTAAAAATGGATAATCACTGATAGCTGAAACGGGCATCATTAAAGTTTACTGGTATTTTTACATTAAGCTTTATACTCTCTGCTTGATAAACTACAGATCTATGTTGATCTCTATAGCCGAAGTTGACTAGCAGTGGGCTGTATACTATGAACTGCAGGATCACATGCGTTTGTTTAATTGACTTAGATAATACTCCAGTGTGCACTTTTCTGGGATTCAGCCCTATTGAGCATGGGGGATGGGGGAGACTTGCTTCCTAATAAAACATTCATGAAATTGCCTTGTTAGTGCTGGAAACTTTTATTAGTTGGTTTATGGTCTTATTTTTTGACTTGTGAAATATGTGAATGTTAGTTCATAGAATCGTAGAGTTGGAAGGGACTTCCGGGGTCATCTAGTCCCGCCTCCTGCACAATGCAGGAAATTCACAAATAACTCACCCTCCACACCCTCAGCGACCGCCGTTCCATGCCCAGAAGATGACAAAAAATCTCCAGGATCCCTGGCCAAACTGGCCTGGAGAAAAAAATTGCTTCCTGACCCCAAAGTGGCAATCAGCATTTCCCAGGGCATGTAAGAAAGGGCCACAAGAACTAAGCACTGAGGCAAGCCTTCCTGCCCTCCCTCTCATGATCTGCCTCAGTTCACAAAATCAGCATTGCTGTCACATGGCCATCTAGCCTCTGTTTGAAAATCTCCAAAGAAGGAGAGCCCACCATTTCCCAAGGAAGCCTGTTCCACTGAGGAATCACTCGAACTGTCAGGAAGTTCTTCCTAATGTTTAGCCAAAAACTCTTCTGATTTAATTTCAACCCGTTGGTTCTGATCCAACCTTCTGGAGAAACAGAAAACAACTGCTCACCATCTTCTATATGACAGCCCTTTAAGTACTTGGAGATGGTTATCATATCACCTCTCAGTCGTCTCATCTTTGGCCTAAACATACCCAGCTCCTTCAACCTTTCCTCATAGGACTTGGTCTCCAGACCTCTTACCATCTTCTTTGCCCTTCTCTGGACACGTTCCAGCTTGTTTATATCCTTCTTAAATTTAAACTGAACACAGTATTCTAGGTGAGGTCTAACCAGACCAGAGTAAATTGATATCATGACTTTGTGTGATCTGGACACTATACTTCTGTAGATACAGCCCAAAATCACATTTGCCTTTTTAGCTACCGCATCACACTGCTGACTCATGTTCAGTGTATGGTCTACTAAGACCCCTAGATCCTTTTCGCATATATGACTGCCAAGACAAGTCTCCTCCATCCTATAATCAAGCATTAAATTTTTCCTACTTAAATCCTCATTGAAATTCATTTTATTTGTTTTAGCCCAGTTTACCAGCCTGTCAAGATCATCCTGTAGCCTGATTCTGTCTTCTACCGTATTTGCTACCCCTCCCAATTTAGTATCTTAGGAATTAATCGTCATCTTAATTGCAAAAGCTATTTTTACAGTTGCCTTATGAATTTGTTAACCGTGAATGTCTTCTAAAAATGACACAATATATTTGCACTGTGTATGCATTTCCTGCTTTTTTTTTCCTGCTGAGGTTCTCAGTGGGGCTCAGTTGAGCTGTCCCCCCCATGTGTGCACACGGGTCCATAGGCAGGCAGTGTACTGGAACTTTAGGGAACATAAGTAAACTACGAGGCACAGAGAAGAAGGCCTATATGGGTAACATGAAAAGTGCATGCTTTTTCATGACATTTCCTATTGTGAAGGTGGTAGTGGTGGTGAAAATGGGCTCTGTTGAGCTGTACTGTGATCATTTGTGGGTGCAAGTAGATCATGCTCATAGATTTTTTTTCAAAGTAATCCAATTCAGTATTTCAAATTATACTTAGGCATTTCTGCATAAAACAGACAAGCACTCAAAATTTCCACATAAAATAGACTAACAAGCACACAAACATGAGGGTTCCTGTGGCATTCTCAAAATTGCAGCCATAGTTTGTTTTACATGTGAATCACATCTTAATCTTGAGTCTCCTGTAGTCAAATTTCTATCCAGTAGTGTGTGTGTGTGCGTGGGGGGGGCTTTTCAATTTCTTTTCCCGGCTGTTTTCTGCCATTGTTGTTCGCTTCAAATCATGAACTGATGCAGAAAATTAGTCTTATAGCTTTGATGTCGTTACAAGACTAATTACCAGTGGGGAAAATAGCCTAAAGATAATTCATTTTATAGAACTGAAGACAAGATGTCATTGGAATCAGGCAGCAAGCTTTAATTGTTAGACTAGTCCACTTAAGTGTTAATTTACTAACCGGTGAAGACTGCTGATAATTAGTAGGTCACACTTGTTTACTTGACGTTACTTTTGGTTCTGGTATATTACTGTAATAAAGAATTTAAAAAAGCCTTTTAACTAGTGGTAAATTTTATTGTGTTACGTTATAACATATTGCATGTAGCATACACCTATATTTGGTTTAAAAATGTAATAGAATTTTCTGCCTTTTAACTGCTGAATCAGTAAAGTTTTATATTGGTTGATGGCTCTAGTTAGGCTACATCAGGCACTTGTTTTTGTAAAACAAATGTTTGATAGCATTAGTTTTGATCTGCTACTGTAACTGCAGCTTGTGGGGAATGAATCTTGCAATAATTTAAAAGGATTTTTTTAAAAAAACTTTTCACTTCCATCATGTAACAAGAACATCGATCTTAGTAACACAGTAGAAGAAGTGTTTTAAAGTCCAAACTTTTTCCTTCTTCACAGCTTGGCACCCCCAAAGTCCATCTTTTCCCTTTTGGTGGCCCCAGAAATCTCCAGTTTAACACTCTGTGCGCCGGCTTCAGAGATGAGGTTCCCAAATGAACTCCCCATTAGATAATACAGCCCTGAATCAGTTTCAGTTTGGTGTAGTGGTTAAGTGCGTGGACTCTAATCTGGGAGAACCGGGTTTGATTCCCCACGCCTCCACTTGCAGCTGCTGGATGACCTTGGGCAAGCCATAGTTCTGTCAGAGCTGTTCTCTCAAGGACAGTTCTGGAAAGAGCTCTCTCAGCCCCACCTACCTCACAGGGTGTCTTGTGGGAAGGGGAAGGGAAAGGAGTTTGTAAGCTGCTCTGAGACTCCCGAGTGAAGGGCAGGGTAAAAATCTAATATCTTCTTCTAATTCTAAAATTTATCATTTAGAATAAAAGTCTCCCTTATTAGTGTCCATCCATAAACCATAGTTACCTTAAAGAGACTATGATTAAGTTCAAACTTCCTAGTAGGGCAGTCTTGCTCCCCACCTTTGCTTTTCACAGTCTGCACCCTTCTGCATCTAGAGGCTCAACCCCTTCCTGGCTCATTCCATTCCTAGGGAGGGGTTATACTACCTTAGTCTTAACTTTCTGTTTTTATTCCTGCTTCCTAGGATTGGTCATTTTGTTGAACTAGGACTTTTTTTTTTGGCTTTCAAAATAAGTTAGGCTTTAGCTGGCTTCTGTGTTGTCTTGGATAATGGATCCAAGACTCATTGCTTGGAGCAGGGGAGGGCAGACGTTATCCTGGGAGCTATTTAATTTTGTAAGAACTTTGGGAGGAGGTCAGTGATGGCTTGTTGGGTGGAGCCAGCCATAAAATGGCATCTTATTCAAAGATTACAACATTCCAACATTCCAACTCACCTGTGAGGGAAAACGTGCCATTAACTCTGTTTTCCCTGCAAAAGGCAAACAGCAGCTTTGATGCAGGAGGGAGTCAGTAGAACGACTATTTCCTGTCCTAGGCAAGGGCTTGTGCATGCATGTGAAAGAGGAGGAGAGGTAGATGGGAAAGGGTGCTGGTGCTTTCTGTTTTAGTGCATGTGCTGTCAAAGTGAGAGGTTTCCCATCCACAGGGAAGATACTCCCATGAGCTCTTTCTTTGTACAGAAGAGAGAGAAGCTGCTGCAGTAGCTTTATGGAGAAGGACAAGAAAGTGATGATAGCGGCTGTGAAGGGGGGGGGCAGAGAACTGCTTTTATTTGCTTGGAGAGTGACTGGTCACTTCCAAGTGACCTTCTGACTACCCCGACTTGGGGCGGTAGTTTTCATACTGCATGCTAGGGAAAGGTTAGCAGTAAATGCAGACAAACGTCCCTGAAAGTCAGATTGCTGAACCATCACCGATGTTCCTTGCAGCACGCAGCTACAAACACAGTCTTGGTTTATGAGACCTAATGGTGAGGCCCAACAGGCATGTCCTGTGTAAAGTGCGTGCTGTGAGGCAAGCTGTAAATTTTCTCCAGTGTAGATGTGTTCTGACACAGTACTGTCACGGTAGTGAGATAAGTAGAAGGTTTCTGAAGCTTCTGACTTAAACTGTGATAGAAACATCAGCTGATGACATATACCAATAATGTGAGGCAGCAAATGCTCTTTGACATTGAGGAGAGCATTCTTGATGAATGGGTAGTTCCTCCCACTGTGTTTAGGAGGCTGGGGCTCCTTTAGTTGTTTGTCCTCTTCTGGGAGCTTTGCAGAATCTAGTCCTTCCCCTTGAAATAAAAGTCTTGCTTTAAGAGACCTGTGTAGTGCTGGGACTAGATTTAGAACATAAGTTTCTTCTGGAGAGATGGTCCTTTGGCCAAGTGTCCTTCACACTGCTGCCTCCTAGTGAACATATGTAGGAATCGTGTCAGAATGCTTAACTGAAAATGATTATCAAAGATCTGTAAACAGGCCTGTTGTTTTTATAGCTTCAAATACTTATTAACCCCCTGCAGCCCTGATCCAAACTGCTTATCCCTGCAGCAGCAATTTCCAGTTCAGTTTTTTCTCCCCGCCACAGTCATAATTCACACTGTCACCAGGGCCCTGATAGCTGTTTCAGG